CAAGACTGGATACATAACAATGCAGAACATTGGTTACATCTCACTATAAATATGTACATGATTGTACACCACTTAATATACAATAGATCTTACCCATGTGGGTTTAAAATAATGTATTATTACATATATGATACTAAAACGGGTGTATACAATAATTTGTAATTTGGATACATTGCGTCTTGTACACTTTCAGAATAGGAGTTCCGATTCTTACCCTAGGGCCAGTGATCGCTCTTTACCGCCCTGATTCTATAAAAATACTTTTGTCCGGTTTGGTTATTTTAAGAAGCTGGTTTGAGGTAACATTTTACCCCACCAACTTAACTTGAAATATTTCTCCGCACTTGCATTTCATTATTTGCAGAAGAAGGCTTTGGTCATCATAGTCATTTAGATGTAAGTTAATTTGATTTAACAATATTCATTCCTCTTGTAATATTATTATACACCCAACCATTTTCCATATATTACTTATTTTGCAGGTGTAAAAGCCTACTTTCATGACAAAACCATCCCTCATGGCTGCCATCGCTGCATCTAGGAAAACCAGATTTCTTCAACTGTTCCAAATGTACATTTGCCAATGAGAGATTTATTCATGCTAGTCAACGCAAACATAAAGGGGCAATTTCAGATGCATCTGCATCACTTCTATCATTAAAAAAGAGGCACATTGATTTCAGCAAAAGTGTCATTGAAGAACATTCTGCATGTTCCGAGTATAATGTATGTGACATTTCTGTTCAATGTGATGCTGGACGTAGTGAATCAGATCTTCAGCTACTGACAGAAGATGAATCACATTGTAAATGAATTCAGACTGACCTTAGGTCTCACCGGACAGTTGTTTTGCCAAATTTTCATCCGACAATGACCTATTGCAGAAAAATGATCATAATTTTACAATAAAGATACAAATAAAAACTAACTAATGATTTTTGTTGAAAGGATGCTTGTAAGATTCTGACTAACGTATGAAGGTTAATTCCTTATGCAACTGATGGTTTTGATACTGAACCTATACTACCACCAACCCCTCTTTTTTACATTCATTTTTGACAGAAAAGAGCTATTTTCAACCTGTTCCTGTGAGAAGCAGGCTCACAGAGTCAGTATGTACCTTATTGATCTTGAAAGTTCACTAGTACTATAACAAATTAACATACTTTTCATCACCCCTCAACCATGTAGATTTTTAGATATTTACCTCTGAAGCAGACACATGTAAATACGTAAGCCAAGTCGAATGCACATTTGCAGACTAAGTTACGCATTTGATCTCCAGTGCTAGTCTAACTGTGACAGGCAGTCACCAACAAGGCAACCCATTTACAAGCCTAACTCAAAGTAAATGTAAACCACTTTACAGATTTAGCTTATGTGTGAGTTTATAAATGCTAGGGTTGTGATAATCAGGCTCATGCCTTCTACCTTAAAAATTAGGGGGGTGTCAAAATACGAAACTATCCAGTGAGACCTTACTATTAAAAGAAACTCAACAACTTGTGAATGACAACAAGTCGAGGCTCATCAAAGCTTCAAAAAATAAAAAAATCTGATATATGGGGATTGTACAACCTCAAGTATTATGAAAAGAATAGGGAAAAGTAGGGTTTTATACTGGTATGCCAAAATTTGAAGTTTTAAAATTAGTTTTTAATTTTATTGATGGAAACATGAATAGCAATATAAAAAGTCTTTCAAGAGAGAATGAATTTATATTGTGTATGTTGAAACTTCGAATGAATTATCTTTACAAAGACATGGCACACCAACTACATGTTTCTGTAGCAACTGCTCAGATAAGTTTCTACTCCACCCTTGATATACTTCATACAAGGTGTAGTTTGGTGGCCAACATGAGAAAACTTGAGAAAATCGATGCCTATGTGTTTTCGAAAGGAATTTGGGGAGAAGGTAGTTGTCGTACTCGACTGATTTGAACTGTTTACAAAAAGGCCAAGTGGTGCTCTAAACAAGGTCTACACATATTCCAATTGTAAGCATGATGAAACAGTCAAGTATCAGGGGAAATTACTGTACTTTTGTGATAGAAATGTCTACAGCTTTGCATCTGTTTACTATTTGTTCATAATTTAATTCTTTGTCACTGATTTGACTATCATACAATGAACCTAAATACACTGGCCATTGAACTGATAACGATTTTGATTTAAAGTTGTCAGAAAATGTCTCTGCCAGAAATAATACTGCATCATTTTGCCGTCATTCCATTAAATTCGTCAAAGAATAATAATAATATTTCTTCGTGTTTGTTTGGGGAAGAAATGCTATTGTATTTCTTTTTCATTAGAAACCAGAACCTCACAATATTTTTTACTATGGGACAGATTTCGCTTCTTCACTACTGATTCCAGATGCATCTCCCAAGTCTTGTATATGGTGTATTGAAATCTGCATTGCTTGGAAGCATCCAATATGCTGGGGCATCTGTCACTGTCGCATTGCATTTGACTTCAAGCCACATCAGACGATCAGCGCTGAATTCGTCTATCCCAAGTACGTAGGGGTAAACATGGATCTTGATTATCATCTTGTCATTCCTCTTACGAACATCCCCAATGAGGATTTCTCGGTAAGAAATCTGTAATATAGAGGTTCTTTTTTCGCATATCAATACACATTCAATTTAAAAACAGATCGGATAAAACCTACGCTTTTTATACGAAATAACTAACCTCATCCACGATTGGGTCCGTGATTTGTCTTGATTGGTTTGCTATGAAAGAAAATTAGCGGCGCAAGATGCATTATGGGTATTTCTGTACATGCTCGTGACGTCAGTGGAAACAACCAATGCCTGTCGTAGTTTGTATGGTTTATTACCTTACTGACTATCAAAAAGTCAATAAAAATATATTACTAAGCTTTAAAGTAAAGAACAACAAAACTTGGAATTAAATCTATTAAAACAACCCAGTTTTACATATAAAGAACGATAAAACCATGAAGGTGCTAATGATGTTGCACTTGGAACAGCTTTCCTTTTATCTTCTGCCTTTGATGGATTTATGACAAGATCAAGGTTTAATTGTACGCATGCACTACGCCTGTCCCTGTAGTTTGTTAATCACGAATAACTAATTCAAACATACATCGCAACTTTTAATGATATGTGAGCTTTTCCCCTTGCTTGTAACTTTTCTATGAACTTTTCCACTAGCCAGAAATATAAGATAAGATAAGATAAGATAAGATAAGATAAGATAAGATAAGATAAGATAAGATAAGATAAGATAAGATAAGATAAGATAAGATAAGATAAGATAAGATAAGATAAGATAAGATAAGAATTCTTTATTACAGACTGAATAGTCCATACATCTAAATTAAAATACGGATATAGAGTAAAACTTTGTAAACATAAAAGAACATACACACACACACACACACACACACATATATATATATATATATATATATATATATATATATATATATATATATATATATATATATATATATATATATATATATATATATATATATATACAAGTAAACAGATGCATCTATAACAATGGATTGTGTTCTGCATATTGTTAAGAATGAAATTAAGTAGCAAATTTAAAGAGCGATTTTTTCCATCTACTAATAATATGAGAATTTAAATGAATATCATAGTTCCACGGAAATTATAATATACAGTTCTTACTAATAGATATTCTCGACATCATTGAGAAAACTAAATTTCTCATTACTTCATCAAAATTGAATATGTTATAATATACAAACATGTGAAATGCACTATTCCATCTTGGAAGGCCTGATAGAAAACGAAGACTATTATTATAACCAATAACTAGTACATTCATACATTCACTAAATTTTTGTCCACAGAGGAGCTCAATACATAGTGCAACAATAAGACTTGAATAATCTAATTTTGATATTGGATGAACATTTCTTAAATTTACGAAGAAGCATATTTACACGACTACACAAAATATGTAACGTCTTATCATATCTTCATTTTTTGACTGACTGGATTTTAAAATAGGACCCACATACTTGTAACTGTCGACATACGTAATAGCATTACTGATAAGATGCACGGTGAGAGGAGGAGACGAAAATTGATAATTGAAGAGGTTTATTGAAAGACCATGCATACTGATTTTTTTATTTTTTGATTTTTTTTTTTTTGCATTATTGATGAAATCATTTTCTAATGCGTATTGTGCGCTTACCTCTAACAATTTTATTAAACTTGCGATAGAAGGACTTATCAATAACATATAATCAGCAAAACCTAAAATTGTTAAGAAATAACACATTTGATGACAGACGTAACCCCACGTGGCACTGCCAAGGTTACGATTTAACTCGTCTGTGTATGTATTAGATAACAAAGGGGAAAGAATACCTCCCTGCCTTTCCCCATTGGAGTTAATTTTTAACTTCGAGTTAATAACAAAATATTGAAATCTGATTTCCATTATGTCTCCAATAAGAAGAAAGCCGTGGTAACTATATTGGTAGATTGTCGGGTTCTTAATACACGGATCGCTGATTCAATAACTTTTACGAGTACAGCTTAAGTTGTATAACTTGGTGTATCCGAGAGAAAAGCGCTTAGTTTCCATTTTCTTCGTTTGTATAGAGAGCTTAAAGTTTGTATAGTCATATAAAGAGCTTAAAGTTTCGTTAAAGTAAATATTCCAGAAAGAGAGAGAGAGAGAGAGAGAGAGAGAGAGAGAGAGAGAGAGAGAGAGAGAGAGAGAGAGAGAGAGAGAGAGAGAGAGAGAGAGAGAGAGAGATTTTAGCGTAGCTTTAAAAAACTTTCAGTCATATCTTTACCTTGTTCGCACTTTGGCAGTTTATATGAATGGTTTAACACTGGGACATCATGCCGTAGACATGTAGCATGGCAACCACAGTTACTATATCCTTACACCAGATAAACCGGTCCTAACACTCACTTCTTAATGTTGAGCGTCTAGCGAGACCTATGTTAGTACCATTTTCATAAGTCTTTGATATGACTCAGCCGGGGTTTGAACCTGCAACCTTCCGCATCCGAGGCGGACCCTATAACTACTATGCCACCGAAAATTGGAAATTAAATAGAGTCTAATCTCGATCGATCAATCGATCGATTGAGAGGCTTGTACAGTGTATGATTTAATTCATTTGATAACTCTTGATGCATGACATAATAAGCGATTACACTGAGAATTGGACTGATTCTAGTTGGTAACAAAAAAAAACATATCATATACTATAAATGAATCATATTGGTAACACTATTTCTCATAGGCACCGAACCCTAAGCAAAACGAATTTTCTCCCCACAAATTATCGATGATCTCCAAGCAATGTTGACATAGACAGTGGAATCAACAATCTCTAATGTTTATATTAAAGTTGATTGTTGATCGTAATATTAAAGCGTAGAGAGGGAATCTATTTTCATAGGAAAGGTGCCACCGACGCCAAAATCACCAAAGAGCTATAAACATTATCATATAGCAATTATTTTATTTTTAAAAAAACTTCTCAAAATTCCGGTTGAAAATTAAAGGAATTCTCTGCAAATATTAACCTTAAAGTTGTATACTTGTAACATAGTTTTTGGTATTGTACAATTGATGTAAGGGACCTTATTAAAAAAGAATACGTAGAATAGAAGGATAAGGAGGAAAATAATTAAACTTAAATTAGTTTCAACAGAAGCAAAATTAAATGAAAGAAGAGAATTCTAAAATAAACCAATTCCGGTAAATATTTAGTAATGAATAAAATTGAAAAGAAGACAGATCTAGAACAAAATATTTATTTGTACAGTTTTTTTCTGCTCTTCGTAATAATTGTACCTGTCAAATATTTTCTGAGCAAAGATTGGCAAATGAGAGAGAGGGGGGGGTAACTAAATGTAGTTTGGGAAACCACTTACAACAAGCTGTTAGCACTCATAAATAGTTGTTTACATTACTTTTTCACACGCGGATAAAATTAGAAAATCAAAGTACTCGATCCCTACAATAACTCGGTTACTGTCAAATACAATTGTGTACAAAAATTCGTTGAACGTAAAGTATGGAAGCATGAGATTATGTAATGTATGTATAAACTATCGTATTTTTCAAAGTGGACTTCTTTAAATATCTATCTTTTTTTAATTGACCATAATAACAAAACGGAAAATTAAAAAAAAAATTTAAAAAAAACCTAGAAGGGACATAACTCCTTCAACAGTGACTGAGCAGTAGTGACAGTCTCGTCAGAGTTATCCACTGATTTATGGATTTCAACGGTACAACAGCATTTCACCTCATCTCCATCTCCAATAACAAGATAAGGCCAAAGTAAATGAAGGAGATGAATGGATGCTGTCATCCAAAGTAGTGACGGGCTTCTATCTGAAAAAGACACACTTAATATATGTAAATACTTGCCAAACTTCTGTACAAACGGGGAACAAAATGGGGCAGGCTTATAATCAAGTAAAGTATTATCAATGTTAGTTTATTGTGTTGAAATTAGATGACAACAGAGTTTTTTGCACCTTTTCTCTGCCGTTTTGTCTTTGGTTCACTATTACTAAGTCAGCAGACAGATCCGGTAGCCTGGTGCTTAAAGCATTTGCATAATAAATTGATTTGATTTTGATATCTCGTAAAGTGTGCAAATAATTTTCCCCTTATCACAAAAGAATAGGGGGTGGTAGTAGAAACAAAATGAGGGGGAGGAGGAAACGGCCATAGTTCAATATTAACATTATACTATAATTTTCATCTCTTCGTCCACTCTGTAAGTTCCCTATAGATTTTGAAATCTTTAAAATGTGTTGTCTTTAGTTGTATACCAATTAAGCTGTTCATTGTTTCTCAGCTTAATATTCTACTTATCTGTGTATGAATATTGTTCTGTACTGCGAAACCAGTTTCTCGGCTCACAGGTATTTTCTTTAGGATAATTCTGCTCCAAAATAAGATGTCGCACTGACCTGAGCTCTGGCAAAGTTTATCCTTCATGACTTAGTACTCTACAGACTACTGTGCCATATTTGCTATTCCATATTGCTGTATCAGAATTTTTATGTCCGTTAATGTCAGTCTTCTTGTTCAAACAGAAGAACTTGATCAAGTAAATCTCTTTACTTATAAATTTTTCGATGGCCTAAGCGGTTAGAGCGTCCGCTTCGTATGAGTGTCGTCGCGGGTTCGAACCAAGATCGAGCCATACCAAAGCTGTCTCACTTGACGCTTAAGAGGTTAATGTTAGGACTGGTCGGCCTGGTGTCAGGATAATGTGACTGGGTGGGACATTGTGCTACATGTCTGCGGCATGATGCCCCAGTGCTAGACATCACTATAAACTGCCACACTGCAGACATCGTAGCGATACGACTGAAAAATTGTTAAAAGCTACGCTAAAAAAACAAATCTTACACGTTTTTGTATAATTTTTAGATTCTTATTTATTAGATTTATTATAACCTTCATGCACAATATTAGTAGGTTGTATGAATGCAGTATTATCACGAGTATAAGTGCAGTATCAATCATAGTATTAGTGCTGTATTAATTTAAGTTTAAGTATAGTATTAGTTGCATTATAAGTGCAGTACTAATAGCAGTATTAGTACAGTATTTACGATAGCAAAAGTGCAGAATTAAGTGTAGTATAAATGCAGCATTATGTTATTATAGTATTAGTACAGCATTAGTGTAAGTATAAGTGCACTAACAATAGTAGAATAAGTGCAGTATTAACGATAGTTAAATCACAGTATTAAGTGTAGTATAAGTGCAGCATTATTTATATTAAAAGTTCAGCATTTGAAGCAGTACAAGTGTGTTACTTATATTGGTCTTGGTTTAGTATTAACTATAGTACAAGCGCTATGCTTTTTGTAGTAAAATTATAGTTATTGAAGCAGAAAAGGTGCAATATTAATCATAGTCACTGTGGAGTATTTGTGACAGCATAAGAGTGGCATTAGTGGTAGTATAAGAGAAGCACTAATGGTATTGTATGTACTGTGTGGTAGTAAAGTGCACGATTAGTAGTGGTATAAGTACAGTATAATGAGAGTATACCGGTAGCAGTTGCGTTAGTATAAGTTGGGTATTTATGGTACTATACGTAAATCATTAATGGTAGTATCAACATAGTATTAATGGTAGCATAAGTGCGGTATTAATTGTAGCGCAAGTGCAGCATTAATGAGGGTATGATAGCAATATTTCGGTTGCATACTTGCAGTATTAATGGATGAATAAGTGCAGTTTAAAATGATAGTATAAGTGCAGTCTTAATGGTGGTACAAGCGCAGTATTGAATGGTAGTATATGTGCAGAATCAATGGTTGTATAAGTGCAATAATAATGGTTGTATAAGTGCAGTATTTAATGGAAATATAAGTGCAATATGAATGGTTGTGTACGAGAAAACCCTAGAGAAACATATTTATATCGTGTTGTAGTGGTTGCAGATTTACGTCGTTATTACAACTATTTAATATTATGGAGAGCGATGGTGTTCTATAGACATGGTGTTCTATATATGGTGTTCTGTTGTCATCAAATTGTTTCTAGCCGACGTACAAAACTGTACTTTATCTTCAAGTAATTTATTACGCGAGTTAGAAACAAGTACTCAGAATTACAAGGGAGCAAGATCGCTTGTTTACAGAATTCTATATTCGTTTTTATTTGATATTCATCTTACTAGTACAATATTAAAATGATGTTACATGTTTTCATTTTACTAATAAATTCCCCATTACCAAACACACACACACACACACACACACACACACACACACACACACACACACACACACGATCTAAACTAATCGCAGCAATCACGCTGACATATGGAGGTGAAATAGACAAGTTTAAAGTTATAAGGTCCTTCTTTGGAAAGGCACTATTTTACTAACATCTGAAAATAGTCCAGTGCCAAGAGTACTCCGGCGGAAATGGAGAGCACTCCTCCGCATAGGGACAAGGCGAAGGCAAAACCGACTGATCCAGGAATGGTTCTCGAACTACCATAAATAATGGCGCCAAGAATGCCGAGAAGACCTGTAAATAAATAAATTCATACATAAGTAAATTACAGTAGTCGGTAAACAGTAATTATAAATAAAACCTTTTCAATTTTTGACTGATTTTCTAATTTTTTTGTTAACAAAACAGAAAAACATATGATTCTAATCGGACAATGTTGTAAACCTGTCACAACAAGGTGATATGAAGGAAGTTTCTTGATATGATGGCAACGAATCGTTTGTTTGTGGGGGGGTTTTACATTTTTTAACATTTGTTTATTTTGCTCTTGTAGTTAGGTTGATTTTCTTTTTTAAATTATTCCCGTTATTGGAGGGCCGAAGTTTATCAGATAAGTTTTGACCTTTAAATATTTTAAAAACTGGTCATAAAACAAATTTTGAGAGAAAAACTTGTTTTCCGTTGAATTATTGGGCTGCTTAAATGCCGATTCTGTGTTTGTTGTTATCATTTGATAGAATTACCACATTGTATATTCCACATTTACACATATATTACAGTTGAATATCTGTGTAAAGCGATCAGTTGGGGTAACACAATAATCAAACGAATGATCACTTGCTAGTAATCGGATATAAAGATTAATTCGTACGTTACTGTTTTAGATAAACAAACTCTTCCACATTATTGTTGACAACAGGACAAGTTCTTGAATGAAGCCACGGTCTCCAAGGATATTATATTTCTCTCCTTTCACAAGGAGAGGATGTTCTGCATCCACCCATGCCATAGTTCCACTCAATAATCAGCTTCCTTTCAGGAAAACAATGCACTTTGGAAGTGAGGGGAGGGAAACATTCATTTTACTAAACAAAATTGAGTTTAAATTACAAATATAATTAACAACGTTAACACCTAACTTTATTACATACCCAATTAATCTGACACGTTCGATCTGGGTTTCAATACAGCTGTTCAATCCGCATTTCCTTATCACTCATCCAGACTCGTACTAATTAATTGCCTTTCTTTGTTGTACTCACGTAGATTTTTTAGATGCAGTGAATATAACTCTCATAGATTCCAGTTCGTTTTGA